TTTGTAAAAAATCGCAGTTAACATCGAAAGATATTTTGAAAGGTGTCGGTGTGTGTAGGGACACCCATAATGTGACTAGTGTAAACACTAAACTTAAGCAGAGTTCAGTAACATTTACTCTTCTGGAAAAATGCTAGTTAGGTAAAACTTATTTACGAGTGCTGGAAATTATGTGACCGAGACCTGCCGGTACAGCAAAGTGAAAATCTGGTGCTAGTGGTGGAGCGTATTTAGAGATCGACGTTGTATAAGACGACTCCTAGTTTTAAGAAAACAAATTGGAGCTTCAAAGGTCAACTTACAGGCCACTGTACTGTACATCTACATGAGTAAAGGTGGTTTCACAAACAAACCTCCAGAACATAACTCATTCATCAGTAGAGCTCCTCATTTGGGGGAAGTATTTTCATCACAGAAAAGTATCTTGGCTTTTATAATGGGAGTCTATGGAAGTATTGATGTGATTTACTAAAGGTTTCTCAGGAACAAAACTTTTATAAACTGAGGGATATCTGTAGAACCTTTCTAATATTAAAAGTACCAGAAAATATTAAGTAAAATACCAGATAGTAATTACAGTCCAGTTCACTGCAGGTCCAGCTCAATTCAGGTCCATTTTAGCCAGTGGGGGAGAAAGTATATGAAAATATTACTTAAGACAAAGTACTGCACTGTTACTATGTAAAAATTAAAACTTGTAGAAAGTACAGGGAGTCCCTGCCGATATGAACGGTGTTAAATATGAAATTTACAATATATCATCAAATGACATTTTTTACTTCCATTTACTGTATTGTCAATCTATTTCTTTTTTGTTTTAAATTAAGTGATTTTAGATGTATATAATGACTTAGACTGTGATATAGTGTGATTTTAAACATTGTTCTGTAAGTATGGTATGCTCATGGCGCATGTTCCGACTTAAGTACAAATCCGAAAAAGAATGCCGTCAGGAAAGGAACCTGTTCGTAAATTGGGGACCCCCTGTAATCTTCTTCAAAACTACTTTAATAATAATTTAATTAACTGAAGTGAAACAAAAAACTAGAAAGGTGAAGAAAAAAAAAGTAGTATTAGTAAAAGTGCACCAAGGCTATACAGTCTACTGTAGGTACACAAAATGAGCACTTCTAGGCATGCAAGACTATATAGCCTTGGTACATAAAATGCACAATTCTGGCACCCAGGACTGTATAGTTGGTACAGTTCAAGGCTACAATATACAGCTACTCCTCAAATTACGACCTACTGGACATACGACCGCCTCGGTCGTACCAAATTTTTTTTCAAATTACGTATTTTCGAGTCCCGACTTTAGTGATTGTGTGCTGTGTACTGAAAAAATTTTCGTTTGTAATTCCCTTCAAAATAGTTGGCATGCTTAAAGATGATTGTGCTGTGTACTGAAAAATTTTTCGTTTGTAATTCCCTTCAAAATAGTTGGCATGCTTTAAGATGAGAGTTTTGTGGTGCTGAGAAGAAAGAGAGAAACCCATTTTAGATTTTCTACGTATCTTCGCATTTTCGACCTGGATTTGGGTCCCTAACCCTCTCGTAAGTCAAGGAGTAGCTGTAGTGCAGTACATTACAATACAGTATAGTACAGTACAATAAAATATAGTACAGCATAGCATAGTACAATACATTACAATAGAATATAGTACAATAAAATATAGTACAGTACAATACAATAAAGTACAGTACAATACAATATACTACAAAACAATATAGAACAGTACAGTATAATATAGTACAGTACAATAGAATATAGTACAGTACAATAGAATATAGTACAGTACAATACAACATAGTACAGTACAATAATATATAGTATAGTGCAATACAGTACAGCATAGCACATTACAATATAGTACAGTACAATATAGCACATTACAATACAATATAGTACAGTAAAATAGAATATAGTATAATATAGGACAGTACAATACAATATAGTACAGTACAAAACAATATAGTACAGTATAATATAATACAATACAGTACAATATAGTACTATACAGTACAATAAAACACAGTACACTACATTATAGTACAGTACAGTGCAGTACAATACAATATAGTACAGTACAATATAATATAGTACAGTACAATACAATATAGTACAGTACAATACAATATAGTAAAGTACAATACAATATACAGTAATATAGTACAGTACAATACAATATTGTACAGTACAATATAATATAGTACAATACAATATAGTACAATAAGTTGTGAAAAACACAAATGTATGAGGCACTCGGTGGAAGCGAGTTAGTGGTCAAGCAAGATGTTTGTTTCAACAGTTGCCAGAGGATATACAGTATAAAACTATAAGTGTGGTGGGATACAGTGTAAACAAACTTTAACCTTGCTTGTGGTCTTGGCACATACATCACTCTTCCACCAGGCACCTCACATTATGTACACATTGAACAATTTTTCATAAATACTTCATGTCAAGTTCTGCAAATTAATTATTTTTCCACTACAACTTAAATGAACTTTGTTAAGTAGTGTTTGGTTAATCCACACAAGCATGATGGTCCATTAAGGGCAGTGTAGATACTGTATACTGAACCTTGTGATTAACACTACCTTCACTTCCCCAACAGGTGAACCTACAGTACTGTACATTAATTTATATGTACAGGTATCCTCTAACATACTGTATAGCACTAAGGGTTCTAAGTTAAAAAACATATTGAATGGTAGAACTCTTGCATTATGTTCTGGGAGGGAAAAATCAGTCAACTGGTGGGTTTTCACCAATACAATTCTTGTAAAATAATTAATACATTAAACACAACCAACATTCTGCAATAGTGCCAATGCACCACTGGGCTATACTGACTATGTGACTGAGGGGAATTTGTTAAAAGTCAAACTGATATTTTTGTAATAATGATTGTTCATTTATTGGACATACTGTAAGTATCTTGGGGGATACCTGTACTTTATTAAAATATATGATGAGCCTTATCTGTGTTAAACTGAACCCTGTAAGTTACTAACACACAGGTGCTAACTATTCTATTACCAATGCCAGATAACACTCTCTCTCCTCCTGTACTGTAGTCGTCAATCACTATTACATCAAGGCTTCAGTTCACCTCAAATGGTAACATAATCTGCCAAGAATCAGTAGATAAGTTTTCTTCTGTACAGGAGCCGTGATATAAGGTGCTGTGCTGTGTTGCTGCAGGACCAGACGTCTCCTCCTGTGTCAAGTACAACTTATTGCAGAAATATCAAGATACACCATATGTATGGCACTTAGATAAAATACTTAACAATGGTGTGTATGTATGTATGTGACAAGTGTATTAGTGCAGAATTACAAGGAGTTAGTTAATATTTACACCTTCACAACACAAGAGCCAATGTGAACTTGGATGGTAATTTTAATGACTAACTAATGATTTATTTATCCCATACTTTAATGGAAATAATCTTTGGATGTCCTTCCTAAATTATCCTTGGTTTAGTAGACTTACATTGTGTATTTGTAGTGCACGATGAACAAATATAAACTTGTATGATGACTTTATTAAACACTAGTTGGTGCACGACCATCCCATAGGCTACCAGCACCTCTCTGCACAACTAATGCTGGTCCAAGCAAAAGGCACCTCCTAGCAAAATAACCTGATCTCTGAGCTAAGAGGTAAGGGTCATCTGAAGTTCTTTCCTCCAGAGAGAATTCTCTTCCAGTTCTCTGGTCAAAAACTTCCAGATGAGAGATTTGACAGTGAACCTGTGAGGGAAGCCACACATACCCACAGCACATAGTATTTTGAGGTAACAAGCTGTGCAGTTTTAATCAGGCTAACTACAGTCCTAAATTTAGCTTCCTGATCCATACTAAATAAATTATGACAACTTATCCTTGACCTATAATTAGGCTAAACATTTCAGACATTACACTAACTTAGAAAAATAAAGGGGGTCCCTAGACCAGATTAATACTGGTCCTAAGACCAACAGACTGCTGACCCCTGGACCAGGCTAATGGCCTCTGGATCACTCATCTCTCCATAAAGTCTCCTGATCCCAACTGGTAATTAAAAAAATATCAAGGTTCACAATGTTAATTACTCGCCAGCTATGGGTTTCCAAGGTGAGATTTAGGTGTGTGTGTGTGTGTGTTATTTTGGATGTACCTAATTAGTTAAACCTCTTAAATTCCAATTCTGAGAGAAAAGTATATTTGGTCAAAAATTTTGTTTGTGCGTTTTCTCACGGACTGAAACTGTGCCTACAATACACCATTCACAGGGAGATACAGTGTACACAGTGATAGCACCAACAGATATAGACGAGAACGGGAAAAGAAAGTACTGTAGTATAAGGAAATAATAGTTAAAATAAAAAAATAAAAATATAATCAACAAGTTTGGCTATCCTAAAAGGCATTCTATTACTGCCCCAAAGAAAGATTTATTTTATTTTTCTGGGTTTCTTAAGGACTGAAAGGGTGTATAAAATCCATTAGTCATAGCAAAATGCAGTGTACATAGAGATAGCACGTAAATACTGACAAATTGCAGAAGTGAACTAAAAAAAAAAATAAGAGAAGACAACCCTAAAGGCAACAGGGGAGGATAAAACCAGCAGAGGGCAGCTAAGTACTGTTTTTTTTCTTTATTCTTAAATAAATGTAGATCTATACACATTCTGCACCCCCCCCCCACCCCCAACAACAACCATGAGTATGATATGAGATTAACGAAGGGGATAACAGATATGGATGATACAGGCCTGACTAATGCAACATTTAGGACGATGCAAGCTGCTGTAAAGCATGAAGGCTGTTGCTGGTATTGCCCTGACTGCATAGTCAAGGTGAAAGAGGCGATTGCAAGCCAAAGGGGAACGAGTTCCCCAAGGACGAAAATAGATGACGCTAGAGCCTTGCTGGTTGCCAAACTACGACAAGTTGGGAAAGAGATCCTTGCTAAGACTGAGGAAGTAGCCGATATAATGGAGGTAGTTGTTAAGAGAAATTATGCCGAGGCATTAGCAGGGCTACTGGAGGTGGCGGAGAGTAATTTAGGATCAGAACAGGTTTTACAGCAGCTAGGAACCCTGAAGCAGTGTGTCGAAGAAATGGAAATTAACGGACCTACTGTTAGGGGAGAGGGGGAACAACTGGAACGTTTCCAGCGCAGGAACAATGTAATAGTTTTTGGAGTCCCTGAGAGCCAGGCGGAGGGAACTTAGAGTAAGATAACACACGATAAGATGTAGTTTAAGAATATTTGTACAGAGGTTCTGAAAATACCATCAACCCTCCAGGATGTGAGGAGGCTGGGACAACAGCAGGGAGATAAGCCTGGTCCCCTCAGGATCACAATAGTGAGTGAGGAGGAGAAATGGAAGGTTATTCGGCAGGCAAAAAACTTAGCAAGGAGCGAGGCATCTTGGAGTGTATTCATTCACCCAGAATGCACGGTAATACAGAGGGAACAGCACAGGAAGCTCCTGCAGGGCTTGAAGCAGAGAAGGGATGAGTCGAGGAGGAACGGGGAGAGGGTAGTGGAAGCAAGTGTGTCAACAGCGCACCCTCCACCCGCTCTACCCCCCACCCGGGAGGAGGCGAGCACGGTGTAAACAATGACATACAGTGTACTTAGCAAATGCTGCAGCTTTTGAGAATGGGGGGGGTGTTGCTACTAAGAGCAGACACATTACCGAGAACAAATTCTGGCTCGAATGTTATGTACACTAATTCTGACATGTTTCTTGATAAGAGAGAGGAGTTTGAAACACTACTGAAGGTACACCAACCAGATATTGTAGGAGTTGTAGAACTGGGGCCGGATACTCAAAACACCTCATAAGTTACGTCTTTTAGCATGATACAGTACCATATATTGTCGAATCTTTACAGTACCGTAAATTTAGCATACTCAAAATTTAATTACAGTTCCGTAAGCCTTTCGTAAGTATTCATAACTCTAGTGTTTACCCTGTAAATTAAGTTCTCTTGTCGGAAGGTAGATGTCAGTGCAGGAGCTAGTTGGCCAATCAGCGCTCAGTTAACAAAATCATCAACCAATCACATGAGAAGGAGAAATCAGCTGAGAGCGACGCACATATTATTATTTTGTAAACATGGAAGGACCACCAGCCAAGAAGAGACGGCCTAATTTCAGTGAGGCTGAAGTATACACTATTCTGGGCAAATTCAAATAAATTGGTTATTGATAACATAGCTTTGCCGAACCTAAATGACAAATCACTTCTCTTAAATTACTCATTTAGCCTAGACCCTGGTGTTTTCCTTTCAATGTTGGGGACATTTGGTCTGAATTGTCTTCAAGTTCATACAAAAAACAACAATTTAAAACCTGAAATTATATCGGCTTAGCCGTAAATTTTCTTAAATTAATACTCTACTGTACCCATGATAATGTTGAAAGTCTGGAACTAGGCCTAAGGTAGCTGCTAGACAAAGTGTCTCACTGACGGCCTGACACTCACCAAAAAACCATGTACACATTCTCTAACCTAACCTAACATACCATAACATAACCAAACCAAACCTCTCTAACCTATAACCTATTGGTATAATTTCTTATTTAAATAATCCTCATGTTTTAACTAAATTAAGTAGGCCCCACGTTTAAACATTTATTTGTCTAAGACTGAAAAAGAGTTATATAGGCCCCTATTAATCAAGTTAATTGCAACCCACATGTTACGCCTAATATCGTTTAATTTTGGCTAGCCTATGGAAATTTATAGCCTTTCATGTTATCATAAGCCATATACATAAGAAAATAGGCTAAGACTATTGGTTGAATATTAGAAAAACAGGTGAAGTCTTGGCAGGAATGTTCACTTGACCTCATATTGGCTTTCATTACTGAGGGATATTTACGGCTATACAACATTAATAAGTTCTATCTGCAAGTTTACTCAGTCATAAAACATATTTTTACCCTAAGTGTGAACAATACAAACCTTCTGTTTTGGTAAAAAATACTTTATAATTTGTAAGAAGACAAAAGATGCGTCTCTTCCAAACTGAGACAAATACAAACACTCAAGCCGCTTATTATGGCAACAAAAAAGTTACCAAAAAGACAAAGTGAAATATTATATTTCAGTATGTTGGTGTACAAAATATTTTCTTCATTATTCTATGATAAACCAAGTCAACATTACAACATATATTATTATTATTTTTTATACAATAGGGAATTAGTCACTACTACATCCGGGTTGAGAGTGTTACACAACCTCAGGAGCTGGTGTAAGTTACGCACTTTAACTTGCAGAGTTCGATGTCAAATATTTGTTTTGAGTATACCATCTGTGTTTTGAGTATGCCAATCTGAGACTGTATGTCCAGTTACGGGGTACACAACGACATACATCCCCATAAATGTTTTTGAGTATCCGGCCCCTGTTAGTACAAGAACAGGAGAATCGACCCAGAGGGATGCGAGTTCAGTATAGCTGGATATGACTCATTTACGATCCTTTCTCAAAAAACTTGCAAGAGGGGTGTGGTTATCTAGGCTAGGCAAGACCTTAGAGTCAGCCAGGTGAGAGTACAGGGAGAGGATGTTTTTGAAGAGTCCAAATGGTGTAAAATTAAATTACTTATCGTCGGGTGTATCTACAGATCCCCAAACTGTGGCCCACTAAATCAAAGGAACTTAAGAGCCTTAATAGACACTGCAGCAATGCTCAACCCTAGCCACCTCCATATCATGTGTACTTTAACTATGGCGACACAGACTGGAAAAACGAGTTCACCCGAAATGACTTGAATAACCCTGTTACTCTTTTTTTAGAAACTCTGAGAGATAATTTGCTGTTCCATCATGTTAGAGACCCGATACATTACAGAGGGGAGCAAACACCCAAGCCACTAGACCTCATCATAACAAATGAGGAGGGTATGGTCGCCAAACTGGAACATCTTGCCCCAGTTGGCACCAGTCACCACATAGTGTTGTCATTCAGATTTAACTGTTACCTAGTTCAAGATAAGGCCAGGCCAAGGTGCAAATATTACAAGGGAAATTACAATGGGATGAGGGAAGAGATGAGGGGAATCCACTGGCCCAACTCATTGAGGCACAAGAACACATACACTACGCTGAATATCATAACTAGTAAAGTGACCCATTTGATCTATAAATATATACCCAAGACCAAACCCAGTGCCTCTAGGAATATGAGGGGGTCCCTACACATGAACCAT